CCCCAAAACCCCAAAACCCCAAAACCCCAAAACCCCAAAACCCCATCTTTTATATATTATTAAAAAGTATGGAAAGTTCTTAATCTCCAAATTTCAGCAGATTTCTATTCTTTCAGCTTTGTGAAAAATATTTAACACATTTTAGGCCGAACATGGAAGGATTAAGGCAACCCCTGCTTGACCCGAGCGTGAGGAATTATGAACAGAACAGTAAGGAAATGGGAATTTAGAGAATTTAATTGACTGATTTAGACCTAATTAACATAAACAATGGCAATGGGCAGAGAGAAAGTCTAGTTACAGAAGCATCTTATAAGTTAAATGCAAACATCATTGGAGCTGTTGTTGGATTGATTGTTTGTATATTTTATTGGCATATGCAGACTTGAGACAGACAGGTGGTTATATGGTTCCTGTTGTTCACTATTTTCTCATGATTTTATTGAGCATACTTGGCTAGTTTCATAAAAACACAAAAGATATCAAACTTAGCCTATAGTATTGCAACTTATCCACTTGATTTAGTGACTATAGGGTTGTTCATCTACGGATTTATAATTTTTTCTGACTTAACGGAAGAATGATCACTCTCTCATCCATTCCCATACTACATGATGTTGATAATACTAATAATCCAATTATCAACATTCTTAAAGTACATTTCTTGAGGAATCCTTGTGCTGATGTGAATCCCAGTAGTGGCCTTCATCTTAATTAGAGAGTACCAGAACAGACCCGAGCCAGAGCAGACTTGGGAAGATTTTGAAGAGAACGTGTTTAATAACCTAGAGCATAAGACTCTGGACTCTGAAATACAAAAAGATTATGAGTCTTGATGCATCTGCCTGGTTGACTTTGAGAAGGAAGACAGAATCATCGTTCTCAAGTGAAGTGAGAGTCATCATTTTCATAGAGAATGCATTCGAGAATGGATGTTGAGACAGAGGACTTGTCCCTTGTGCAAGCAAGCTGTTGTGGAGTAGCCATAAATACTTTCAATTAATCCGGTGAAGTGAGGGGTTTTGGGGTTTTGGGGTTTTGGGG